GGTGTTTATTATAATTCAGAACACCAAAGAAATATTAACATTTTGGCAAGGCTTAGTCCTATACATATATGAAGGCAAAGTCACTACAGGCACTTCAGGAGGGCAAAGCAGCTTTAACTTAAGGGGAAACAAAGACCAGCTAATGCTCTCCCACAGAACCTGTACGAGTAGTCATTGAATACCACTTTGCTGTCTCTACATGACACCATATCCATGGTGAGAAAAGGGTGGCATCGCTGGAGAAAAAAAAAAAAAACCCAAACACACATGCAGCATGTCAGAACAGAACGCTGTGAGGGTGATCCTCCCTGGCATACAGTGGGGCTACTGCTGTTAAGTCATGAACTGTACTGAGCCTAAAGGAGGTGCACAAGCCACTTCCTGCGCTGCCTAATGGAGCACAGACAGAAAGGAAGAAATTTGAGCCAGTGATGTTCTTCGACTTTATGAAGATACAGTCCAGCTACCATTTTCATCTCCTTTCACAAAAGGATGAAAGGATGGTGCTATGCATTTGCTTAACAAAGCCCACCTCTAGCCAAGAAAACCATGATTAACTTTGTAATATACAGTGAATAAGTGCATATACATTTCAGTATATTAAAGCATATCTGGTTGCATACAACTCAACGTTCACACACATGAAATTTATATTTACATAGCTTAAAATATAAAGTCTGTCTGACAGACTTTTGTCACAAAGAAATATGTGCTTCATAAACATTTCTGCCCATGAGTCACAGATTTTGTTAATGAAAACACATATGGGAGTCCTGTTGTTTCACAAGAAGCAAAAAGAAAAAGAAGAACCAAAATATTCAAAAAAAACTAATGGTAGATGATTATATCAAAAATATCCTTTGAAAATGTCCTATACCTACAAGTTTATTAATTTACCTCTATATTTTCTGGTACTGCTAATAAGACAGTGGCAGCCAGTGATCCCGCAGAAGCTCCCGCAAAAGCTTTCACAACTTTCAGTAACTTCTTACCATGGCTGTAAAAAGCAGCTGCTGCCCCCAAGTGGTAAATACCCAGAAACCCACAAGCTGCAAATGACAGATTGATATGTTTCATTTTTGCTGTGGAAATAAAATTTCACAGTCAGAAAAAGGATCAGTTAATTTTATCTTATAATATACATCTATTCTTCTGGCATGGAACACATAATATAGTATATCTAGATAACAAAAGGCAGTTTATTTAAGAACAGTAAAAACTTTTTATTACCAAATACATCAAACAAGTAGCAGTTAGTTTAGCATCTCCAAAATTGAAAACAACTCTAAAATACTCCTTAGCACAAATCCCTTCTTCAATCAAGAAATATATATATCTATGTACAATGTAACTGCACATTTTCACCTAATTTGTCAAAGAAATACAAAATAAAAGTAGCTACTCAAAAGTGATAGAAGAATGCTCCTGTAGAGTTAACACTGTTAGCCACCTACAGTAAAAATCAAATTAATTACAAAACTGCTGGCTACTGTGTCATCACACTCCCCTTGCACACACAGTCTTGAAGCCAATATAATTCTCAATTATATTCTTGAACCCAATATAAAAGAAAGCATTTTTTCCTTCACCTTTGGAACTCATTTGCCTACTAGTATTATTAGTAATCATTAATAAACGAACTCTTAAAGTAATTTCTTATTTAGAAAAGAAAAACACACAACATATCATTGCTACTATTAAAATAAGAAGGAATAAAAAACAACCAAAGTAAAATACAAAGCACTAAATGTATGAAAACATACACACACGCTTGGAAGGTGTCAAGGATAGAATTCAAATGTAACAAAAAACACAAACAGGAAGCGTAAGTTCAGATCCTTACAAGTGATTTGTTTAAAAAAAAAAAAAGGCTTTAAATTTTATCAGCTTTTCTGTTTCTGCAAATAACTACTATTACGAGAGCAAGGTATTCCACAGATTATATTGTACAGATATACATGATATTGTACAGATTATCTTAGTATTGAATTAAAAACAAACTCCTAGTACATCTAGGTACACATAAATATGAATGGGACTTAAAAAAAATAAAGTCAGTATACTCAGGACTAGACTTGATTCTTCTGGTTCATAATGAGATATTTCTTTTGGAAATCATCTACAGGCACCGTGGTATCAGTTCTGATGAAGAGAGGCAAACATACAGAAACAGATTTTGGTTTAAGTTGCCTCTTCAGCTTGGAAATGGGAACAGCAGGTAAAATGAGGATAAGAAACGGCTTTCAAAACCACTAGATAAGAAGACACGCTAAACTCAACTGCTTTACCCATAACATGATTAAAATCAGACCACGGATGGGTCTAACTAGGTTTACTATTTTCCTTAAAAAAAAAAAAAAAAAACCCAACCAAAAACCAAAAGAGAGCATGCACATCTCATAGTGCCAGGGCATATTGTTTGGCACATCAGGCATGCTGCTAAAACACTACACTATCATAAGGTAGTTTATCAACTGTGCTTTACCCCCTTTACACTGGAAATGCTTGCATATCCACTTGTAAGTATGAATACCTGTAACTTGTATCTAACACATTTGTACTGATAGAAAGGATTTCAGGTTGACTCTTGCTGTGGCAATATGAGAGAAAGGCATTTGCAATGAAGCAAATGATAAATCGTGTTACTACTTTTAAAAAGAAAGGATCTTTTAATTTAAAGAAAAATCACTGTACTGCATAGAAGATAAAAAAAAAGTTTACTCAAGTTTTTACTGGGAAACAACAAACACAATTCTACTTCGAAGATTTTTTTTTTTAGTGGACTGGGAAAAAACTAAAATAGACTTTGAAGTATGATGCCATGATGTGCTTTCTTTCAGGCTAGTTACATTCTCAGTAGTTTAACCAACTGCTGCAGCTATTTCCATGCCTTCTGCAAATTAGGAGCAAAGATGCATCTGCATCATGGGCCACCCTGACAAAAAGGTGAAGCTGGTTAAAGCAAATGCATTATTAAGTAGGAAGAAAAGCATGCATGGAAGAATTAACTCCCGCTTTTGTCCAAAAGAGATTTCAGGCTCAAGACACTATTAATGTGAAACATTATATGAAATAAGGACAACGTTTATGTAGCTGATGTGTCAGAAAATAAACAAATGAAGTTAAGAGTTCACAAATCCCAAGAATTACATCTAAGGGACCTATGAAATGTACCTAAGAAACACAAGTGTAAAATAACAAGCTTATTTAAATAAAAACAAGCTTATGTACATGTATATATACACATCTTCTAAACCTTCTACAAGGCTCATCTACAAAGCATTCTAAAAGGTATCTCCTCCTCCTGGAAAATATTTAGATGTTCACAAATCAAAAGAAGATGAAAACTAAAGAGAGTATCTAAAGCATAGTTACAGCAAGAAATTTTAAAGGATTTTTTTTTAAAAAGAAAAAAAATCTCTACAAATGTAGAAGACAATCACACCTTCAACGTATAAAGAATTGGCTGGTATATCTTCTCTAAAGCGAGAACAGAAAAGGAGGTTATGTGAACTGAAGAGATTATTTGAATCTCAGTTCAAAACCTACTGAAAATACACTGACTAAAGTCAGATGTCCATGCCTTCTCTTACAAGGCTTCACGACGAAGTTTTATTTTCTTATATGAGCTTTAGTCCTATCTAATTATTAGTTATTGTGAGTAACCACTGTTCTCTTGTCTGGATACATGGCATTCACTCTTCGATGACAGTTAATTCATTAACACTTAGATCCCATACTTCTCTTCCTCCTTCTTCATTCCCCAACCCAAGAGACAGAGATTATTTAATGAGTCTTCAGATCAGTTTCTTGACTGACAAAAAGAATCAGTGAGAGACAAACATGCAAAAAGAAAAAAGAACACTAAGATTTCAAGTAAAGACATACCGTTAAAGAATGCTGCTAGTCTCACACTGTTAAGAGCAGACTAATTTCAAGTCTAAAAAGATGAAATGAATGCAATCCAAAAAGCAGTTAAAAACAAATACTTTTTTTGTTAAAAACAGAAGTACTTGATTCACTGGATTTGTATGGCATGCAATGCAGCAGTTTTACAGATTCCCCAAGAGAACTTCAAATCAAAAGTAGTGACAGCATGGCTGTGTTATCAAGCCACTACATTTTTATTAATTAGGGTCTGTTCCCAGGTCTACATTATGTATTTGTCACATATACATGAAATTTAAAAATACGTCAGTACAAACATTAATTGGCAGATGACATTCAGGTTCAAATGACAGATCCAGTGGTTACATGTAGCTGCATGACTGAGAAATGCGTTTTGCACATACATGTAACAACCCTACAAGTGGGTAAATAATGAAAGAAAAAAAAAAAATCATTGAATCATAGAATAATTCAGCAGGTCTCTTGCCCAACCTTCTGCTCAAAACAGGGTCAGCTATCAGATCAAATCAGGTTGCTCAGGGCTTTATCCAGTTGTTACTTGAAAAATCATGTAATATTTAGCTCCTAAGTGATAGCTAGTACCTGTTGCTGGGTGAAACAATCAGGTCTTCTTTCATTTGTTCACAATATTAAAACCAGTAGAGTATTGCAAATAATCAGCATTATGGAGAAGAATAAACAGAACATTAACATCTTCATTCAGCACTATGCATCTACCTGCGGGGAGGTGCTGTACATTGAATTGAAGGCCTCTTACAACAATCTGTAACAAAGCACTTAACCTACAAAGATGATACAGATAAATAAGAATTATGGTTCTATAAGGAACTATCTGCTTGACAGAGGCAGTTAAGCAATGTTGTTTCACTTTGCAAAAGAATCTCTCAGTAAGAGGAAAAGATAAGAAAGCATTCATTAATGTCCTGTAAAATCAGAAAAGCACGAAATAGGAAACCAAGACACTCACTTTTGTAAGAATATAAGCTTTCCTGTTTCTTTCGCATCTTGCAAATATATTATGGCAACACTTGATTTGCAAGTTAGAATGGTGTATTTCAGAGATAGTATGATTCAACAATGTCTTTTGCTTCGATGATCTGGTAGATCACTGCTTTTTTGATCACAAGAATAGTAGGGTTATAACAACTCCCAAGAAGACATACAGAGAAACTTAGTTAAGTCTACAGTATGACTATTCCCTCCCAATTTCTTACAGAGTACCAGAATAGGAGCACAGTCACATCTGGACACAGACAGCTTTTTCAGCTGCCTGAGCAAACAGCAGAAATCTTGCTATCTTAGAAATGGTTATGAAACACCTATTCCACAAGACTTCAGAACAAACACTCTCAGAGGGTTTAACATAAGTTCTGACTATTAATGATATTATTTCTTAACTCAAAGTTGTCATATTGGCATGCGCTAAGAAAAAAATTTCAATAAACCTTAAAAGATGCACAAGTACGTTTCAGCTAAACAGTGCACATGCCATAGAGATACAATGTAAAGAGGACATAGCAAATGCTTTTGCCGCTACTTTGCAAAAACATTGTCATCTTACATGATTGGCAAATTTCAAAATATAAAGATTCTAACTGGCTAAGGGGATAGGTATGCTTTTGTTGTCTACAAGAAAAAACAGAAGCATAAGTAAAGATAAGTACAAGAAGAAACTAGAAGGCCACTGGGGCTGTTTGATCTAATTACAGATAATGCAGGAGCATTCAGGAATAAACATAAACCTAAGAGTTCTATTTAACTGATTCTCACATCTGCAAAAAAATAAAAGAATTCACTGGTGATTAAAAATATACTGGGTGGTTGGCGGGCATTTCTGTTTACTCAGCAGTACCTCATCCATTTTTAATGCAAACCTACAAGAGAATGTATCTAAGGAGACAAACCTATACAGCAGAATTATGATATAGTACAATATAGCTTTTTCAGGACAGGTACTGTCTTCCTAATTGTCATGGACAAGAAATAGCACAACAGTTTCTCATACTGGTGTTTCCTGAGCAATATAATTATATAAACAGTATGCGATCTCAGTGTCTTAACCAGTCATAATTACCTCTGTGTCACCCATTTGTAAACAAAAGTGGAAAATGCCCAAAGCAACTGCCTAAAAAACCTTTACAAACAAAAATTAAATATACATAGAATGCAAGTGACCAAGCACCCTGAAGCACAGGAGCTAAAACGTATGATGCATAACAGCATATCTGAGGATTAGTTACTAGCTTGGAATGACAAAACAACCAAAGTTATGGAAAGAGCTGTTTAGCTAGGCAGCTTTGCTAAAATAAAGGTCATAATTGTAACTACTAATTTACCTGAATCAGAAATCACCACTCACACAGGAATGTTGGAATTGTTTTTTCACGTTTATAACAGAAAAAAAGTTCACTAGCATCACAGACCATTCGTAGCTTTCAGTGAATATTCAAGAAACTGATTCTCCCAATCAAAAATAGGCTCACACAAAACAATCCAACAGATTATACTCTACTTAAGAGTCACTACAGTTGCTAACAAGAGAATGGGAAAAAGTTTTGCATCTATCCATTCACATGGAATAAGCATTGTAAGAGTTTAATGAAGTTGAAGAAAAATAATAATAATAACAACACAAAATAGTCAGTACACAATCCAATTAGCCATTAAGACACTTAGGAAAGTCACATGAGTCTTTGCAAACTATAAAAATTGCGTAGAAGACCCTTAAAATTAAAAAATAAACACATCACATGATACAAAACTTTCACATTAAGAGTTTAGACCATCTTGATCATTACCACAAGATGTCTAGAAAGGACAGGGAAGGCTGACTTCTTAGGAATAGGGTGGCAAAAGCTTTAATACCTTCAAATGAATGTTGGCTTCCTCCACATACTCCACTGGGACTTTTTCCAGCAGCTATTTTAGTTCCCTCTGCCCTAGTAGCCATTCTTGTATCTACCACCGATCGTTTATCATCTACCTTGGAAACCTACAATCATACAGTCAAATACTAATATTTAAAAGAGGAACAACAGGCAAATATAAGATAAACATTATTTATCCTTAAACAGATTAATAAATTAAAATAGTTGTAAAACCATCTAGATTAATTTTTCAATTGCTTAGCCCCCCCTAAACTAGTTGAAACCACTATGTTCTAGTATTTATAAAGCACATGCAGCAATTTATATTTTAAAGATTAACTTAATTAGACATCTAGAAAAAGAAAAACATTGCCATTTGGAAGTGCCAAAGTCCAACATTAGCCTTAATTTTGTGTCCTTTCCCACTATTTTTGTTTATATCCACAGATTTTTTTTCTATAATCAAACTTTTATGTTTTTATCCTCCCTTTCCGATCCAATAAAAATTGACTTTTCCCCCCCTTTTTTGTGCAATATTACATTAGTAAAAAGTTTTCCAGAGAACTCTGGTCCTACTCTTCACTAAACAGCTGTCACTCTAACTAATAAGCCTGTCAGTTATCAAGCAGTATTCTCTGAAGTATAATTTGAAAAAAATTAGTATTTCTCCCCAGCTTAGAACTATCAGACACAAAAAGTTCATTCTCAAACACTGGCTCTCCCTCAAGTTCTTGCTGCCCGCCCCTTTACCTTGATAGGCATCTTCAATTCATAAATAAGGCTGCAAGATCAAAAGCTTAGCTCTGTACATTCTAAAAGAAATGATATTATCACTATACTGATGCATATCACTTATACCTAGAGCACCACAAAAACACTTACCTGGAATTCAACTCTGTTATGTGGCACTCTTATGTTGCAATAGTTTAGAATTCCAGTCCAGAACTGCTGACTTTTTGGAAACATGCAACTACACAATCTGCCTTCTTTCAACTGAAGCAACAGTATTTGAGCACTGCAAAGACTTTTAGCAGTCCACATTTTCTTAAAAGTGACCTCTGGATCCAGATGATGTGGCAACCTAACTAATACTCTCAGAATCTTTTTTTTACCATGGTGTTACAAAGGAAGTATCAATAGATGAGCATGGACACCGCAGAAGTACACAGCAGAAACTTTCTTTTAAACATAACCTGTTTAAAAACATTAAGGAGGGGGGGAAGAAAAAAAAGAGTAGCTAAAAGGTAGCTGCACATCAAAGCCCTGACACTGTAACAAGGCCCTTTTCACAACCCTCTCACGGTCACCTTTCAAGGGATCACGACCCAAAACACAGATGCGTTAACAGTTGATTCATTTGACAATGAAACGGTTCTAGGCAGAACTTTTGTTCTGTAGCTACTGTCTCTCCCACCAGCCTCCATCTGGCACTGTGTTGTTCACCACCAACCATAAAGTCCATTGCTCATTTCCAAAACAGGAAGGACTAAAACTGTTAATAATGCAAAGAACAAGTGAACAAACTGTCCCTTGTAATTAAAAACATGAATACACTGTTCCTTCTACCTCAGCGGAAAAACGTGCAAGGAGTGTTCCGGCGACTTCAAACCAACTGTTCACAAAGTGCTGATGTCGAGATCTTAGTAAGAAAAACTCCAGCATGCTGGCTGCTACAAGGCAAGCCTTGTAATCGATCATCTATGCTACAAGGGTATCGTAGGAGTGACACACAAGTCAAATGTAAGTCTGGTTTACATCTAGCAAGACTTTGACCATAAAGAATAACATATGGAAATGCACTTGTTCACATGAAAAGAAAAACAGGTTACTGCCCTGACTACCAGGGCAAACAAACCCAGTGTGATTCCGTGTAGGCAGGTCTCGGAGGTATACTACCAACTTCAAATTTAACCCAAAACAAGTAAGGAAGTTTCAGGTTTCATCTTGTGTGCCACGAGATGAGGCCCGCAAGGCAATTTGATTTTTCCTCCCTCTGCTTTGCTCAGTAAACAACCAGTATGAACAAGCAAAGCTGAGCTGAAACTGTGAGACAAAATTTGTACACGTAACAAACACAGTCAAGTGACAAGTGAAGCGCTCACAGCATTAAGAAAAGTCACTGCGTCTTCGGAACTAGCAAACGTGCGACAGAAGGGCGATGTTTTAGCGGGCCGCATCCCTTCCAATTTTAGGTTCAAGATAGCCGCCCCCCCCCATCTTTCCCCGTTTCCCTCCGCGCAGGCTCCTGCCTCACAC